AGCATTGCAGGTGCAGCAGGCGGTGAAAAAGGTAAATGGTCTGTTGGGCTTCACAATGAGAGGATTCATGTACAGGAGTAGGGATGTCTTGCTGCAATTGTACAGGGTCTTGGTGAGACCACACTTGGAGTACTGTGGGCAGTTCTGGTCTCCTTACCTGGGGAAGGATGTTCTGGCGATGGAAGGAGTGCAGTGAAGGTTTACCAGACTGATTCCTGGGACCTACGTTACCACATAGCCTGCCATTACACACCCCCTGTTGTTAGTCACTAACTGTCCCCACTAACAACTGTTCACCCTCCCAGCCTGATTATTAGCAACTCCTTCGTCTGTCCAACTGTCTTTCTCTCTCTTTGGGCTCTATCCTATCATTTACTCCCTACCCCACCCACCTCCCTATTTTCTGCATATAAACTGACGTTTTCCCAGCCACCACCAGTTCTGAGGAAGGGTCACCGGACCCGAAACGTTAACTCTGTTTTTTCCTTCACAGATGCTGCCAGACCTGCTGAGCTTCTCCAGCAACTTTGTTTTTGTTCCTAACTCCTGGGATGGCAGGGCTGATGTATGAATAGGGACTGGATCGGTTAGGACTATATTCACTGGAGTTTAGAAGAAGTTGGGTGGGGTGGGGCAGGGGACAGAATCTCATAGAAACCTACAAAATTCTAACAGGACTAGACAGAATAGATGCAGGGAGGATGTTCCCAGTGACCGAGGAGTCCAGAAGTAGGGGTCATAGTCTAAGGATACAGGGTCGGCCATTTAGGACTGAGATGAGGAGAAATCACTTCACCCAGAGAATGGTGTGCCTGTGGAATTCTCTGTCACAGAATGTGGTTGAGGCCAAAACATTGAATGTTTTCAAGAAGGCTTAAAGGGCCGAATGGCCTACTCCTGACTCGATTTTCTGTTTCTTGTGGGGAACAGCAGAACTAGAGGTCATTAACATTAGACAGTCACTGAGAAATTCCCACAGGGGATTCAGAAGAAATGTCTTCACCCAGAGGGTGGTGAGAATGTGGAACTCCCTCCCACAGCGAATGGCTGCAGAAAGTAGGATAGATTCATTTAAGGGAAAGCCAGACAAGCAAATGAGGGAGACGGGAACAGAAAGCTACTCAGGATAAGATTAAGATGAGTAAAGGTAGGAGGGGGCTCCATTGGCATGGACTAGTTGGTCTGAATGGCCTATTTCTGTACTGTGTATCCCATTCTTAGATTATAGAAGGAATATTATTGCCAATGCATCTGGAATTCGCAATGAGATCCATGTGAGCCTGAGATCAGTGGTCAGAGTGGAAATAGAAACAAAACATACAGACATACAAATAGACACACACACATGCAGATGTGTGTACCTGGACTGCCTGGGTGCCAGAGTTGGAAAATATTCCATTCCCAGGGCCACCTTCACTTACCTAGATGGGATGTTAAAGGCACTACACCAATGTAATTTAGTGTTGAGCACCAACACACACACAGAAGTCTATTAGCAGTGCCAAAACAGGAAAGAAACTTACCACTTGCAGCAAAGCCAGATATCCTGCTCCAACATTGTCAAAGTTAATCTTCACATTCTTCCATCGAATTTCATCGCTGGTCTGGTTTATAAAGGCCTCACAATCTGTCTTGTTGTTTATTTCCGAGGGGAGAAACCTATATTCGGAGGTTTCATTAAAACAGTAATAATACTTTCCAGCAAAAAGGTTCACTCCCATTATGCTGAAAATGAGCCAGAAGATGAGACAGACCAGCAGTACATTCATAATGGAAGGAATGGCACCCACCAAAGCGTTGACGACAACCTGCACCAGGACGCAGAAAGAAAGAAGATCAGTGTGACAAGAAAAGTCTTTGAGACCATACACCAGGAATTTTAGGTCAGGGTTTAAGCTGCTGTCGCTTTATGCATAGTCAAGTACTATACTGAAGGTTATTAGGTTTGACTTTATTAATATTACAAAACTGCTTGTGTGATTGATCCAGGAATCCATACAGATATTTCTGATCCTGCTATTTTGATGTTTGAAACAAGTGGTATTATTTTCTTAAACAAGTTATCTCACATCCTCCTGCTGCTCAGCTTAAACCCTGTCATTCCGACTTTTATTTCTGAATAAGCGGGGCCAATGGTAAAGTTAATAGCTGAGCGTGCAGTCTTACAAGCTGTTTGGAAGCAGGCAGTGGTGATTTGAGGTATGCATGCAAGTTACAGAACAGCATCTTTATGCCATTTCCTGCATATACAAGGGGTTTTACAAGCTCTTTGCAATGCATATCACAAGATAGTAGGCAAAAGCATAGCTTGGAGTGGAATCAAGTTTTGAAACAAGTTACAGGAACAGATAGATACTTTCCCCTTTATTAGACTGTGATTATTGGCAAATTGTTAAGGATAAAGAGTCAAATGATTGTTGGATAGATTTTTTTTCTGCAGTATAGTTTGAATCTCCCAATTTTCTCTTCCTTCGATTCCCTGGGCCATACATCATACTCTGGCTGAGAGGCCTCTATTCCATTGCTATACCATTACTGGCCACTCGAAGGTGCTCTCAGGCAGCTCGGGGGGTGACTGCTTCCAGTCCTCTCCTTGTGCCTTCTTGAGACCTGCCTGATCTTCTAACTGAACAGCTTTCCAGGAAGACAGGGAACACACAATGTGGGGGGAAAATAATTCACAGGCATGAACACAAGGTTGACCACTCTCATGCTATGCCATTTTTCAAAATTCAAATTTAGAAAACTCATCATTCAAAAAATTAAAGGTTTTCATTATTTTACCATTTATTTCATTTATAAAATATCTTCCTAATTTTCCAGTACCATGGATCTCTTAGACAACCTTGTACGAGGCATTCTTGAGTCGGGTGTCTAATGATTAGATCCATGTTCTTCATTCCCTTCTCTGCAAGGAGAAGCAGCCTGGTCAAGATGGCAAACTTACAACTAACCCTGAATCTTGCCATTTTGGAATGGTCACACAGGGGTGCTTGAACCTACTATGTCACCTGAAGTTCAAAATGTATCCAATGAACTTCATCAGATATGCAAAACAAAGATAATGTGCATTGAGAGAGACTGATAATCATTAAGCAGAAATGAAAGTAATCAGTGCATTTTACTGATGGAGTTGATGTCATAGTTTTCTCAAAAAAACTTTTTTCTCCCCCTCTGAATTGATCAAATTATTGAATGCAAAATTGAACATTCTGAAGTGCCGTTCATAAATGTACCTCAAAGAATTTGTATGCTGTGTCATTTGGGAAAAGTGATTTCATTAAGAATCAGGACTGAAACATGTTGACCATGGCGTGTTACAGAAATGTAAACAGCACTTTACTGTGTCATTACACACAGTGACCAGAGCTAATCTTCCTCTTCTGTTACAGATGCGTTTGGAGAAGTGCTATTGATATACTGTAATAATGTCTAATCAATCACACTGTTAAGGTCTATTAATGTAATTGTTAAGATTAACAGAAACAGGTGGTAGGTATGAACTGCCTTTAAGTACTTATAAATAAGAAGGGCTTTTGTGGTGCAATGGTAGTGTCCCTACCTCTGAACCAGGAGGCCAGGACTGAGGTGCCACCTGTTCCAGAGGTGGGTAATAACATCTCTGAATGGGTTGGTTATAAAATATCCACACATAAATAAGGAACAACTGCAACACTGGGGTTGTTGGGTAAGAGCTGTAAGATTGAGTAAGTTGATAAACCTTTTCCACAAAGTAAGGCTACAGGTCATGGTTTCCAACTCGCCCACCAGCTTGGATCCTATTAACACCGACATATCCAAATGAACTATCATCCTGTGGCTAGCTGGGGGTGACTGATTTTTTTAAAAAAGATTGATCTGAATTGGAAAATTGAGGAATTGTTGTGCCTTTTCCAAGATAGGCAAAGCACATATGCTTATATATGCCAACAAACGCTTACAAGGCAAAACCATTAACTAATAATTCATCTTCCTGGCTTCCAAAAGCACCTCCACTCTCTTCTACAACATATAAAAGGGTAACTTAAACAGGAACCTCATTCTGCAGATTCAGATTTGAGGATTCAAATGGACACAATGCGATGTGGAAACTGGTATAACTCTTCAGCTGTTAAATACATCCTAAACTTGAGCTAGTAACAGCACAAAGCTGTGAAACAGTGCTGGCTCCGTTAAAAACCTCTGATGTTTTACACATCCCTTGTGAGACACTCAGCATGGTACAAGGGCAAGTGCAATTGTAACAGAACCGAATATTGGTACCTTCACTTTAAAAAGAAGGCACACTTGGAAGTGTAGAGCAGAGAAAAATTGGGGTTGTGGTGTTCACTGGTCAACCATCTGAAGGAATGTTGGTTAACTATCTGCAGCTGTCAATCATAAAAACCCTGGCCCTCTCCTCCCCCACCCCAGATCAGAGGGAAGAGTTTGAGCATGTGCTGCACTTGACCGTGGCACAATGATACAACAATATGCATCCAGGTGAAATCCAGTTCCTCATCTATAAAATCATTGGATTTTTTTGCAAGACTCTATTGTGCATCCTCAATAAGGTTTAGCTGCAACTTCTCCTCTCTGGGAGATTAGTTGCTGTTCTAGCTCACTATTTTCTTGTGATTAGACACAGTCTTTTCTGTTGCTGTGACTTGTTAACTCTGAACTGCCTGGGTCACACCCTCTGTGCAATGGAATATGTAGCCTGGTGAATCCACAGAGAATGGCTCCAATTCCTGAGTCTCTTCCGTTCCTTTAAAAGCACTTTCTACCCTTGGGTCTGATGTTGGTCGATTGCATTCCCGTCTGATTTCATCCCTGTCCAGTTCCTTCACTTTTTTTTTACAACTCTGATGACTCTTTCTCAATCCTTAGTGAGGTCTTTGGTGCCTTTCCTGTAGAGCTGGACCTCCTTCACACTCCTGAAGTATAGCTTGCTTTTTATATCACTTACCTTTGTTAGCTTCATGAGAAAGGATCAAGTAGTCTTTGAGCTGGGTATTGCGTCCAGTAAATTAACTGTCTGGTGTTTCACTTGCTGTATTGTATTGTCCAGGAGGATTGAAGTAAGGAGCTGCGTTAAACTTTTACAATTTAGAGTGCTCTCTATCTTTCTGTCTGGCTTGTGAACTGGTGGAGTGACTGCAAACTGTTGCAAATTCCTCAAATCAAATGGGGGGACCATTTTCTGATAGAAAATCATTTGGAATACGCTGTCACCTTCAGTGGAACTTCTTGACATTTTTTTTTTGAAACCGGTCTTATTCTAAAGGAATCTGAATAGCCAGAACATGAGACAATTTTTTTCCTTCAAATAAATGAAAGTTTTAATTTCTCCCAGGGCTTTTCTGGTATTTGCTGTTTGTCTTTGAGCAGTTAGTGTACATTTTCTTTCTATATCCTTATTCAGCAATGGTTAGTAAATTCACTTCTCTAACCGTGAAGAGCTCTGGATCCCATCTCCTTCTTGTTTAGAATGGGGATATGTCATTGATGTAGGCACTGTGGTGGGGTGACTTATAAACATGCTCACTGTATTTTTCATATAAAAGTACATGTGACACTAAATTTCTATTCTGTTCTAACAGTGCTGGTTTCAAATTTTTGCTTCTGAATATATGCCAATTGATATCATTCTGTTAATCCTTCCTAGCCAGTGCTGTAAACACGCTCTGCTTAATGCATTAACAATAAGCTCCTGGCTCCTCTTGCAGTCATCCATTTGTATCATTGGCTAAACTGCAATGTTTTCTCAATTTCAAGGACCTCATGGAATCTTGTGGAAATTCCTCACGAGCTGCTTAGATTTCAAATGGCACATCCAATCATTTGTACCTTTGAAACGGTGTGGAGAAAGTAGCAGCAGGTCCAGTTAGTCAAAGACAATATGCCCCGAAAACCCAATCTTCATCATGCCAACCGTGAATGTCTTCAAGTGTCGCTGATTTAGAGAGTTCACCACTTACAGAAGCTTGGTTAAGTGGCTTTAGTGGTTACACAAACACACTTAATCACTTGCTTTCACTATCATTGTTGAATTTTACTTTTCTGAGTACTTGGACAGTATATCTTGATTTGGGACTTTATCATAACTGTTGCATGAATTGCTTGGTTGTGTCTACCAAATCTGCAAAATCTACCATATCCAGTTGGTAATATTTGAAACTCTGTTCTGTATGTTTTAAAGAGTGTCTAACACAACATGTCTTTTTCCAACAGTTTAATTTTAATTTTTTTTAAAAAACAGGAGGAAAGACATTTCTAAAGTTCTCTTCCGTTGGATCAATCTCAGGTATTGATTGTTAGGAAAGCATCAACAAGAAAAGCACAGGCAAGCTGAAATCTGATTTGCTTGGTGCTTAACAGCAAGTTATCAGATAACTTATTGGGATATTTAGTGGCTACAGGTTCAATAACTTTATGCAAGAGAATATGATCTTCAAATAAGCTACAATTAGCTTGCATCTACTGAAGATTGTCTTTGTTCTGACTTCTGGGTTTTCAACACTTGTGCAAGAAATATGTCTTTACATTTCTTGCACATTCTTTATCTTATTGCACTGTAGCATTTAAAAGTTTAGTTCAGAGCTATTCAAAATTGTTTGGACTTTACATCTGGAATTATTTTCACCGTTTTCATTACAAGATATTGAACTGCTTTCTGGTTCCTCACTTCTTTCAGTGGTTTGGCTGTTGATCCTCAAGCTTTATGCATTGTCCATATTAAGTTTAGTTCCTGCAAATCTTTGTTCGCAGTACCATTGTCTTGTGTCTCAATAAAGTCTCCACTCTAACTTTCTTCAAGCTAAATTGGGGAAAGTGGCTAGAATATAACTGCTGCTTCAAATGTGCCATTATCTATCTCAAACCATCAAGTATTCTCAGTATT